TTTCACTTTGTTGCCCAGGCTAGAGTGAGTGCCATGGCATCAGCCTAGCTCACAGCAACCTCAAACTCCTGGCTCAAGCAATCCTCTTGCCTCAGCCTCCCAAGTAGCTGGGACTACAGGCATGCACCACCATGCCTGGCTGATTTTTTCTATATATATTAGTTGGCCAATTAATTTCTTTCTATTTATAGTAAAGACAGGGTCTCACTCTTGCTCAGGCTGGTTTCAAACTCCTGACCTTGAGCAATCCACCTGTCTCGGCGTCCCAGAGAGCTAGGATTACAGGCGTGAGCCACCGTGCCTGGCCTTATTGTTGTTTTCAAGACTGGGTTTCACTCTGTTGCCTAGACTGGAGTACAGTGGTGTCAGCATAGCTCACTGCCACCTCAAACTCCCCACCTCAAGTGATACTCCTGCCTTGGCCTCCCAGAGTGCTAGGATTACAGGTGTGAGCTACCGCATCCAGTCCAGAATGCATAGTTTTTAAACTTAGATTTTCAAAATATATTTGGACAGACTTTAAGGGTGCTGATGGAGATTATTGGATGGCTAGGCAGCCCCAGCCATATTTTGGTGCTGCAAATGGTCAAGTTTTGGAGAGACTAGGATGTTAACCTGATTAAAAGACATGTTTTGCACTCTGGGAGGCCGAGGCAGGAGGATGGCTCAAGGTCAGGAGTTCGAAACCAGACTGAGCAAGAGTGAGACCCTGTCTCTAATAAAAATAGAAAGAAATTAATTGGCCAACTAATATATATAGAAAAAATTAGCCGGCTCGTGGCACATGCTTGTAGTCCCAGCTACTCAGGAGGCTGAGGCAGGAGGATTGCTTGAGCCCAGGAGTTTGAGGTTGCTGTGAGCTAGGCTGATGCCACGGCACTCTAGCTCCGGCAACAGAGTGAGACTCTGTCTCAAAGAAAAAAAAAAGACATGTTTTCCTGAGCAAGTAAAAGGCTGAGTTATTATTGAAGAGATCTTCAGAAAGGTTGGTAGCCTAGGGAAGCTAGGCATATGAATTTTTCTTGGAAAAAAATAACAACTGGGAGAAATTTATTTGGCCTGCAAATGCCTGTAGTCCCAGCTACTTGGGAGGCTGAGGCAAGAGGATTGCTTGAGCCAGGAGTTTGAGGTTGCTGTGAGCTAGGCTGATGCCATGGCACTCACTCTAGCCTGGGCAACAAAGTGAAACTCTGTCTCAAAAAACAACAACAACAACAACAAAAATGCATGCTATGTCAAATAATTTCCAGGCATTCTCTTAGCCCAACCATTTTACCTTCCCAAAAGCCTCTTTTACAGAAATTTTGGAACCACCACTGAACATGACCATTTTTTGTTTATTTAGGTATAGTAATAATTTCAATATTTATACATTTGTAATATATTAAATATCGTAAATATTTAATATATAAAAATATTTATATAATATTTATATATATTAAAATATGTAAATATTTTAATATTTATACAGTGCTTTGAAATTCTTAAAGTTCCTTTAAAGATGATAGCCAGTATCCTTGTACAAGTCTGCCATTTATTTTGCATTCAATTTTTAAAACAAGGTACTTACACTTCCTGCCCACAAATCTTCCCTTCCTCCTGCAAGTTTAACATAAACAGATATCTCTTCTCCTTTAGTGAAGTTCAGGTATCGGCAGTCAGGTCCTCTGTAATCTCTCGTGGCTGAGACTCTGCTCATTAAAGCTATGTAAACATGTAAAGAAAAACTTACTTTAAATTAAAATATTATTTCTGCTCCTTCCATCTTGCCCTTCTCCAATCCATCCTACATATTAATATTTTCAAATGCTAATTTCTTTATATCACTTATGGCCTCAAAACCCTATATACACTTCCCACTGCACGCAGAATCCTAAGTCTAAGCTTTTAGGTTTGGTATCCAAGGCCGTCCCTTAACCTGGTCCCCTTTCCCTATTTAAAAGGATCACCTTGCTGGGCTCCCACCTATAATCTTAGCACTTTGGGAGGTCAAGGCAAGAGGATAGCTTGAGGCCAGAGTTTGAGACCAGCCCAGGCAACATAGTAAGACTCTGTATCTATAAAAAATTTAAAAATTAGCTGGGCGTGATGGCTCATGCCTGTAGTCCTACCTACTTGAGAGGCTGAGGTGGAAGGATTCCTTGAGCCCAGAAGTTTAAGGTTGCAGTGAGCTATGATGATGCCACTGCACTCTAGCCGGGGCAACAGAGTAAGACTCTGTCTTTAAAACATGGCTGAGGGCTGGGCGCGCGCGGTGGCTCACGCCTGTAATCCTAGCACTTTGGGAGGCCGAGGCAGGCGGATTGCTCGAGGTCAGGAGTTCGAAACCAGCCTGAGCAAGAGCGAGACCCATCTTTACTATAAATAGAAAGAAATTAATTGGCTAACTAATATATATAGAAAAAATTGGCCGGGCATGTGGTGCATGCCTGTAGTCCAGCACTGGAGGCTGAGGCAGAAGGATTGCTTGAGCCCAGGAGTTTGAGGTTGCTGTGAGCTAGGCTGACGCCACGGCACTCACTCTAGCGTGGGCAACAAAGCGAGACTTTGTCTCAAAATAAAAAAAATTTAAAAAAACATGGCTGAAGCCAGGCGAGGTGGCTCACGCCTGTAATCCTAGCTCTCTGGGAGGCCGAGGCAGGCAGATTGTTTTAGCTCAGGGGTTCGAGACCAGCCTGAGCAAGAGTGACACCCCCGTCTCTAGAGCGAGACCCCATCTCTACTATAAATAGAAAGAAATTAATTGGCCAACTAATATATATAGAAAAATTAGCGGGCATGGTGGCGCATGCCTTAGTCCGCTACTGGAGAGCTGAGGCAAGGATCGCTTGAGCCAGATTTTGAGGTTGCTGTGAGCGGCTAACGCCATGGCACTCACTCTAGCCTGGGCAACAAAGCGAGACTCTGTCTCAAAAAAAAAAAAAAAAAAAAAAAAAAAACATGGCTGGGCGAGGTGGCTCACGCCTATAATCCTGGCACTCTGGGAGGCCGAGGCAGGTGGATCTCTCAAGGTTAGGAGTTCGAAACCAGCCTGAGCAAGAGCAAGACCCCATCTCTACTAAAAATAGAAAGAAATGAATTGGCCAACTAAAAATATATAGAAAAAATTAGCTGGGTATGGTGGCACATGCCTGTAGTCCCAGCTACTCGGGAGGCTGAGGCAGTAGGATTGCTTGAGCCCAGGAGTCGGAGGTTGCTGTGAGCAAGGCTGATGCCACGGCACTCTAGCCTGGGCAACAGAGTGAGACTGTCTCAAATAAATAAATAAATAAAATAAAATAACAAAATGAAATGACCTACTCCTATTCCTTTACACAGACTCAGGGCTATAATCAAGCTTGTTTATCAATTGTCCCTGGAAAATGTCATTAGCATTCTCTAGTCTATAGAGAAGGAAAAAAAAAGGTAATCAGTTTTTTTCCTGCCACCTACTGTACTATAAGCATTATGATAAGCATGATCATATTTTTATGTTATTAAATCCCCCAAACAGATCTATGAGATACATAATTTCATCTCAGTCTAACAAATGAGCTTTCAGCTAAGGCTCAGAGGGTGGGTCACACAATTCTGGCGGAGGCCACTTTACACTGAGGTTCTTTACACTGCAACATCCCCTTCCTTATTCTAAGATTTTCTTTCTGCTCTTTCCTCAGCCTAGAAACCCTTCTCTCTCTCTTCATGCTTAACTCATTTCCTACTTCCTCTATGAGGCATCCTAATCATTTCAGCCTACTCTGATTGCCACTTCTCTCAACTTCAATATTACCTATTATCCTTACTATACTATATAACTGCTTACTCCTTAATATTTACCTGCCATGTCATCATTCACTAGTACAAAACTTCCTGGAGGGCAAGAAACTTATCTTACGTTTCATTTTATTCCTCTTAGATGCACAGCACACACCCACCCACCAGAGTCAGCCCACAGTAGGCCAATAACTAAGAATGAATCATAGCCACATATACCAGGTTCAGCTCTTCAACACACAAAGTAAGGCCGGGCGTGGTGGCTCACGCCTGTAATCCTAGCACTCTGGGAGGCCGAGGCGGGCGGATTGCTCAAGGTCAGGAGTTCAAAACCAGCCTGAGCGAGACCTCATCTCTACCATAAAAACAACTAATATATATAATATAAAAATCAGCCGGGCATGGTGGCTCGTGCCTGTAGTCCCAGCTACTCGGGAGGCTGAGGCAGGAGGATCGCTTGAACCCAGGAGTTTGAGGTTGCTGTGAGCTAGGCTGACGCCACAGCACTCACTCTAGCCTAGGCAAGAAAGTGAGACTCTGTCTCAAAAAAAAAAAACAAACACACACAAAGTAATATACACACCATATTAGCTATTATACCAATGTGTAAAATACAATGCTTTTATTAATTCATGCGATTAAAATTAAAATAACATAAATTACTATAAATTTGAAGGTTCCTTTTCATGTTCTGCGTCTGGCTCTGAGGATACTAAAATGAGGTTGAAATGTAGAGAAAAAGATTGTTATTCTAAAATATCTAGTAAATTTCTCCCCATATTAAATTACACATCCAAAATATTAAAGAAAGTGTTTACTCATAAAACTGTTACTTATAAATTATTTATGTTTATACTAATATATTTTGCATTTTTAATTTCCCCGTTACAAATTAGAAGTAATTTTCACATACTGGAATGATAGAATTTATTTAAAGCAACTCTAATATGTTGCACTCTAATTTATTTTGCACTGTAATGCTAATAACATAAAATAAATTAAGTTCTTAAAGAGTAGAATGGAAGGCTGGGTGTGGTAGCTCACGCCTGCAATCCTAGCACTTTGGGAGGCCAAGGTGGGAGGATTGCTTGAGCTCAGGAATTAGAGACCAGCTTGAGAAAGAATGAGACCCCGTCTGTACTAAAAATAGAACAAATTAGCCAGGCATGGTGGCACATGCCTGTAGTCCCAGCTACTTTGGAGGCTGAGGCAGGAGAATTGTTTGAGCCCAGGAGTCTGAGATTGCAGTGAGCTATGATGATGCCACTGCACTCTACCCAGGGTGACAGACGGAAACTCTGTTTCACAAAAAAACAAACAAAAAAAACACAATAGAATGAAAATTAATTTTTCTTTGTAGTAGATAAAGAGAGATTTATATTCAATGATATAAATAAAAATTACATTTATATTCTAGCAGTGATTTCAGTATTTTTACATAATAAGCACAGAAATGATTAACATTTGATAAAGTTTAGACAATAAATCGTGGTTTGAAATAAAAACATATTTTAGAAAACTCACGAAAATCAGAAAGTTCTGATTACGAAATGAAAACTAAAAATAGAAGAACTTTATAAATAAAGAATTATCAAGTGGCTTGATGTCTTTTGTTACATGAATCAATTATATTTATGTTTAAAAAATAGTGAAAGGACTGATTAATGTTTTTGAGGTATGGATTAATATTATTATAACTTCTGATGTATTTCTTTCTATATCAGGCTGATCTATGCTCTTTGTATTTTTATATTAAATACTATTACAAAATACTTTGCTTCCAGCATTTCTTTTTTATACTAAGCTACACTGTATAATTCTAATAGTTCTCAATGATATTAATGATCATTTTATCACACATGTCCATAATAACATTTTTTTTCTTTTTTTTAATTCATTGCTCAATGGAACGTAATAACATTTTATGTCATTTCAGAACCTCAATTTAAGAGAAGAAGAAGGGGAAAAAAGCAAACTTACATTCACATTCCAAGTCACCACATTTTTTAAGGTCTGCCAGCAGTTTTGTACCCTCCAGACACTTTGTCAGGGAAATAACCAAAAGAAGGATTCTGTGGACTCCAAGCTCCGCCATGCTAAAACAAGTGACTAGGAATCCCAAATGAAGGTTAAACCAATTGTCCAGGTTGTAGATATGCCAGCCAAAACAGGAGATATTCTACTCTCTTCACTAAATATAAGAGAAAAAGTTTTGAGGGTTTTTAAATCCCTTGATAACTACATTTTTCCATTGGCATACAGGCTTAATTTGAAGGACAAACACTCTCTGTTCTCAGTCTGCAGTGTCAGGAATCCAGATAATACATAAGAGTTTAATAATTAACAAGGATTTTTAGTTGGACTAATGTCCCATGAAGATAGCCCATGTAAAACTGTCTCACTTAAAGGCAGCTTGCATTTCACAGGATAGACCTGAAACAGGCCTCCACAAAAAGATAGTTAATTTCTGTTAAAGTCTTCAGGTAGATTGATCAACAAGTACAAACCAAGTATTTGCTACATACAAATACCGGCTTCAATGGAGAAAGTATACAGTTATAGCAGGAACAGTAATAATTTATATTAAAAGTATGGTTTTGAAATAATATGATGAAAACTATTTGAAAAAATATTCCACTTTCATATTTAAAAACTATTTATTGTTACTATGAAGTTAAAACTTACTGTATTTAGTTAGGGATAATCATTAAAATGTAATGAGCACCAAAAAAAAAAAAAGAACAAAAAAATTTTAAAAATGTAATGAGCACTTAAACTATGTTCCAGGTATTAAGTACTTAAATATATGATCTGATTTAATCCTCACACCAACTCTCCATGGTAGGTAATATTATTCTTTGCTTCTCAGGCTGGTCTCGAACTCCTGGCTTCAAGCCCTCCTTTCTCCTCAGCCTCCCAAAGTGCTAGGATAACAGGTATGGCCACCGCACCTGGACTGATTTTTTTAAAAAGTAAGCCAAAAAAAAAGTAAGCCAGACAATATAGAAAACTACAAACAAGAAAATGAATGCCACCTTAAATTATGTTATATACTCCCACCATATGGGGGAGCATTTTTATTTTTTCAGACATCTCTCTCTCTTTTTCTCTCTCTCACACACACACTTTCTGCATATGAGGAAACTGAGGCACATAGAGGTGGTTTAAATCACTCACCCTATGTCACATGGTGAGAGGAGAAAAAATCTAAACCTAGGCACTCTGACACCCCACACTTGTAGGTAGCCACTGTAATTTACTATCAAAAATCAAGTCATCTGCCAAGCAAAGATACCTACCCTGTCTGTAGCAATACTACTCTAGAAACAGCAGATAGAGTATTACTCCATGTATTAAAAATTGTATGTATATTCCTATAAATGGAGAGAGAATGTGTGTGTGTGTGTGTGTGTGTGTGTGTGTGTGTGTGTGTGTGTGAGAGAGAGAGAGAGAGAGAGAGAGAGAGATGTCTGACAAAATAAAAATGCTCCCTCATATTGTGGGAGTACGTAATGTAATTTCAGGTGGTATTCACTTTCTTCATTGTAGTTTCCTATATTGCCTGGCTTACTTTTTTTAAAAATTAGGCTGGGTGTGGTGGCCCATACCCGTTATCCTAGCACTTTGGGAGGCCGAGGAGGAAAAAGGGCTTGAAGCCAAGAGTTTGACACCAGCCTGAGTAACATAACAAGATCCTTTAACTACAAAAAACAAATAGAAAAATCAGCCTGGCGTGGTAGTGCACACCTGTAGTCCCAACTATTTGGAAGACTGAGGCAGGAGGATGGCTTGAGCCCAGGAGTTTGAGGTTGCCATGAGCTATGATGACACCACTGCAGTCTAGCCAGGGTGACAGAGCAAGACTCTGTCTCAAAAAATATAAAATAAAAATAAAAAATAAAATAAAATAATAAATAGTTATGAAAATCAAATCATTTGAACATTGCCATTGCTCAAAAAGGATCAAAGCCCCATATTGGGAATTTTTTTGTAAAACACTAGATCTCAGTAGATTTTCAGAAACTGCAGTTGTCCTATTTCAATCTTGGGAAAATATTTTTCTAAGCCCTTCTTTGCTGTGTCTTTTCACTGTATTTGGGCATGCCAAGGTGCATAGTGTATAGATTCAGAACCCAGCAATTGTATGACACCACACTCCCCTCTAGTGCCTGACACAAATAAGACAAATACTCAGCACCTGAGCAAGCTAAAGTGAAGGACTTTGTTCTGCTTTCAAGGTTCTAGAGGACGTTTATTTGCTTGTTTTCCAAAAACTATAACAGTAGGAAGCCTGCTCTCTCAGAACTAAGATTTTTACAAAAGAATCTGATAGAGCATGTACTTGAGGATCATTTGGCTTGCAACAGAGCACTGCATAGTTGTATGTATATACACACAAAAAGGTGTAGGTTAGTTTCTTGAATACCTTTACAAATCTGTGAGCTATGTTTTCAAGGACATTTAAAGAAGGATCAGGTCTTCAGCTTCAAAATTTGGCGCAGGGTTATTTTTATAATTTATAATATCACCATATCCAATATTAAATCGAGAACATTTAGTAATTAATGTAGTTTAACAATCCATGTGTCATATTCAATATTAATTACATTATGGCTAAATTCCAAAGTGATTGATTTAATCATTTTTAAGTTAAGTGCAACAAGAGCCTAGCAAAATTTAAATTTGTCTATTGATTGACCTGAAGGTGATTTGAATCAAGAAAAATTCTTGCCTAAGATACCAGCCTAGAGAGATTTGCTCCCACTAGAAATGCTCCCACACTCTTGCTACTTAATGCACTCAGATGACCTCATTTTATGTTCAAATCATTATTTAAATATGATTTAACAAGATATCTGAAAGTGTGGTAGCACAATGTTGATTAACTGTCCCTAACAGAGCCAGATGAAGAGATGGTACATATGAAAGGGACACGAGCATTTAGTGAAAACAAATCAAAGTATGACTTTTCACTATAAAAAACAGTCATATTAACTAAGGTGGATATTATCTAATTGCAGATGCATTTTTCAGGTAAACATATCAATAGTCATCAAATATAATGCTAATGCTGAAGAGGGTGTCATAGTAACATAAATCAGCCAGGAATACTAATCTGGAAGGCCTACAGCATTCTTTATAAACCATACAGGAGGTAAGAGTACCTATTGCTTAAAGCCGAAGGATGAATCATCAAAGCCATACATGTTCAGTATCTTCGACATAAAATCACAGAGCAACCCTTTCCATGAGAATATAAAGACAGAATCATGAATACTGCATTTCTGCTTGATGATGTTATTTATGATACTATATAGTATTCTCTTCTAGCACCTCAGATTTTCTAAAGTGGGAACACATTTCCTTCAACCATCTGGCTGTTACTCTGGCAATTTATAGGACAGAAAAATTTGCTGGAAAGTGACTCACATCTGTAATCCCAGCCCTTTGGGAGGCTGAGCCAGGAGAACCACTTGAGGCCATGAGTTCAAGACCAGCCTGGGCAATACAGAGAGACCCCCATCTCTACCAAAAAAAAAAAAATTAGCAGGGCATGGTGATGCATACTTGTAATCCCAGTTACTTGGGGGGTTAAGGTGGGAGGGAGGATGACTTGAGGCTAGAAGTTCAATGTTGCAGTGTGCTACCATTACACCACTGCACTCCAGCCTGGGTGACAGAGTGAGACCCTGTCTCAAATAAATAAATAAACAAGAGAAATTTAATTCAAAGTCACTTGGGATAAGCATAACTGATTAAGCTAGGGCAGAGCCTTTGGAAACAGTTCCCGTGGTAGACTGGCATAAAGTAAGAGAAGGCCCAGGAGAGACTGAGATTCAAATTTGTAGCCGGGAGTGGTGGCTCACACCTGTAATTCTAGCATTCTGGGAGGCCAAGGAGGCCGGATTACTCGAGGTCAGGAGTTTGAAACCAGCCTGAGCAAGAGCAAGACCCCATCTCTACTATAAATAGAAACAAATTAATTGGCCAACTAATATATATAGAAAAAAATTAGCCGGGCATGGTGGCGCATGCCTGTAGTCCCAGCTACTCGGGAGGCTGAGGCAGGAGGATTGCTTAAGTCCAAGAGTTTGAGGTTGCTGTGAGCTAGGCTGATGCCACAGCACTCACTCTAGCCTGGGCAATAAAGCGAGACTCTGTCTCAAAAAAAAAAAAAAAAAAAAAAAAAGAGAGATTCAAATTTGTGTGGAAGACATGGAGACGGCCCTCCATATCCTCTCTCCAAGGAAGGACTTTCTGCCCACCTACAGGGAGTGCAGCAGTTAGCAGACACCCTCTGCTGGCAGATATGTCAGGGCTGCCTCAGCTGCAGAGATCCACCTTACCCAAGACCACCCCAACCTGGGTGATTTAGTGAGCCTAGTGAATAAACAAGGGAGAACAAAGGCAGGATCATTTCAGCCTTATGTGGAACAACCACATTTCTCATCCAGAGCTTCCCTTTGGGTTGACTGAGGCTTTGTAGGAAATTGCAGTATAGTTTGACTTCCCCCCTCTGCCCAATCCTGCTATCTCCACCTTCCTTTCACAGGTGTTGATCGCTTGATTCCGAAACTCCGTTTCATCATCTGCTTCTAGAGGACCCAACCTCAGAAGCTGGTGATCCATAGGCACGAAAAGAGGAGACAGTGGAACATGCACATTTTGATCCACCATTTGTGCTAATTATGCCATGGCTACTCTTATGTTTGTTGTTTGTGTGTTGCTGAAGGCCACGTTGTAATTCTACCCACTTTTTCTCATTCTATCTGAATCTGCGTTCTGCCAGGAGACAGATGGACATTCAATTTTGAGGGGATGGCACTTCTTAATGACTGAGGAGAATGTAATGAAAATACTATTTACAAAAGTGTGGTCAGGGTTAAGGGAAACCAACAAGGGTTGTAACATCCCCAGGCATGAAGGAATGGTGACTGCTACCTGCAGAGAACTATAGGAGAGGGCTGCCCAAAAGGAACTTGAAGCCTTCAGTAAAGGAACTCAGCCAAAGTGAGCTTGCACCGTTTATGCTATCCTGGATTAAGCTTAAGCCTGTTATCCAAAGTGAAGTGACACAAGATCAAGAAAACGGGCTCCACATCTATTCGCCATCAAATTGGTACTGACTGATTAAAATATGGTGCTCAGCCGGGCGCGGTGGCTCACGCCTGTAATCCTAGCTCTCTGGGAGGCGGAGGCGGGCGGATTGCTCAAGGTCAGGAGTTCGAAACCAGCCTGAGCAAGAGCGAGACCCCGTCTCTACTATAAATAGAAAGAAATTAATTGGTCAACTAAT